AGGGTTTAGGGTATAGGGGCCTACATAATTACCAACAGTATTTTGCGGGTTCCTTATTATAAATATAGTATAACACGCACCAAAACCCTCTTCTATTTATTAAGGCCCCTATAGTAAACCCCAAAGCCCTAAACCTTACATAATTTAATGAGCCCCCAAACCTATTTTAATTATTAAGGCCCCTATATTGGGACCTTCTGCCCGTCAATTGAGGATGGCTGCCGTGAAGCAAGGCAGTCCACTTATCGTTCCGCGCAGTCCACCGAACGGTCCACGCAAAGATCCGCGCAAGCGCACCAAAGACCAGGAGGAGCGCAAGTCTTGGAGCCACTTCGAGCTTAGATGGGTAGGAAGAAGGCGAGACTGTTTCAGCTATTGTTTATTTGCCTACCTACCCGTGAATCTAGGCATGTATTCATGTACACATGATTGAACCTTTGAAAAGGCTCCAGTGGAAAAGCAAGACACTTTCTGTGGGGAATGAATGCTTGCCTCTTGTGGCTGGCAGCTTCTCCCAAGCCTCTACCTAAACCCTAAACCCTAAACCCTAAACCCCAATTAAATTTCGCAGCCTTTACGGAATAGCAGGCCCTTGCAGCAACCGTACAGGGCCCTTGTAACCATTGTAGAACCCTTCTAGCACCCTAAACCCTAAACCCTACTGTAAACCCTACAGCCCCTACACCCGAAACCCCTAAATCGTAACAGGCAGTCTGTAACCCTTACACCCGAAACCCAACCCTAAACCCAACAACCCTCAAACCCCCAAAAAATCGTAACAAGACCCCCCCCAACCTGAAACCCTAAATCCTAAACCCTAAACCCTAAACCCTAAAAACAGGACTGGATGCCGGCCAGCCTGTCCTTTCACGACTCCGGTACCGAGTCTGAGGCCTCTTCGGCTTCTGCTGCTGCAAGGACCCTGGGCTTCGGGGTTTTAGGGATTTTTGTGATTCTTTTCAATGATTTTAAGGATTTTTTTGGATTTTTTTGGATTTTAGGGATGTTTAGGGATCTTAAGGGTTTTGGGGGTTGTTATTGGGGATTTAGGTATTTTCGGGATTTTAAGGTTTTAGGGTTTATAGCTTTTCGGGTTTAGGGGTTCTAGGGATTTTAGGCGTTTGAGGGTTGCGGGTTTAGGGATTTTGGGGTTTAGGGGTTCAGGGTTTAGGGGTTTTCGGGATTGGGGGTTTTGGGGGGATTTCGGACCCTGAGCCCCTGAAGCTGTAAGCCTAAACATTGAGGGTTTAGGGTTTAGGGTTTTGGTTTAGGGGTTTAGGACAAACTGTAATCTTGCATGGCTTACATATAAGTGCAGTTGAGAACACCAAGGCCAGTAAGCTGAAGAGTGCCTTGTCTTCAGGAGCAAAGTCCATGCGCGAGACATACTGCAGAAGTTAGAGTCGGAGGCGGACGAGGAGGAGGATGAAAAGAAGAGCCCCCACTTCGCCAACTCCTTGTATGCGGAGGCCAACATGGACTTCGTCGGTCACAGCAGCCTTGCGTCGGCTCAGACTCTAGAACACTGTAGAACCCTGCAATCCGAAAGTCTAGTTGGAAACGGGACCCTTTAAGGGCTCTTTTGGGTTTGGGGCTCCTTGAAGGGCTCCTTTAAGGGATGGGGCTCGAACAGCGACTGAAAGATAAATTTCGGGGGTTGGATATCGGCTTACTTGTGAGAGGAATGTGGATCTCGCAACCGTGTGGTTGTTGTCTACATGCTTTCTGGTTCAGCCCAAAACAACCCGAAAGCCTGCAGCACCATTTAATATGGGGGCCTTAATTAGGATAGGGTTTGGGGTATTATACTATAATTATAGTAAGGAACCACCCAAAACCCGATTCTAATTATTCAGGCCTCTGCATTAAGGCAAGTCGGGGTATTTCGCCACGGAAACGGAATCAGAGTTCCTCGCGCGCTACAACCGGATGTCGAAGCTGGAGAAATGGCAGCTCTGGCTGCAGTCCAATCGCTATGAGTCGATCATGGCTGTCGTCCTTTGCTTCAATGTATTGTGGATGGCCATGGATTTACAATTCTTCGGGAGCATTGCAGGCTACAACCTTAACGTATTCTCGATGCCTGTGCCGCCAGAACAAGTACCAACATGGGAAGGTGTTTTGACGATCGGAGATCTTCTATTTACAGGTGTCTTCGTGCTGGATGTCATCGTGCGCATTTGTGTGTTGCGGTCCAAGTTCTGGAAGCAATTCATGAACTATGTCGACGTCGCAGTAAGCGTTACAAACCTGGCCGAATTCGGCGTTCTCTATGCAACGACGCTGCCCGTAAATCCCATCCTTTTTCGACTGCTGCGACTCGGTAAACTGGCGAGGGCCATCCGCATGATCAACATGACGAGCGTGTTAGGTTCCCTCCAGCTCCTGGTGAAGTGCCTTTGAGATTTAGGGTTTAGGGTTTAGGGTTTAGGGTTTAGGGTTTAGGGTTTAGCTGAAGCCAATAAGAGTTGCTGCTATGTTTCTTTCTGTTCTGTTTGATGTGGAGGTTACAGCAAGTTCGAAGGTTCCGGAAGGCGTAGGCAGGGTCTGGCGCAAGCCGAATAAGTCAGGTCTGGGGTTCGTGGTCATGAGATCTAGAGCCCTATCTTACCAGTTTCGAGGTGCCTTGCGTCCAGCAGCAACCCTAAAACCAAAAACTTTAAGTAACCCAAACTTACAAGCCTCTGATTAGCTTCAATCCACACTCCTAAGCCCGAAAACCGGTGAGGTGCCTCGCGTCCAGCAGCAACATGCTCTTCTGGAGCTTTTGCCTCCTAACCTTCGTGCAATGTGTTGCAGGGCTGATTGTTTCCACTCTGTGTCGAGACTTCTTCGAGGATGATGCCTACGATGCTAAGGTTCCCTTTAGCAGTTTTCTGTTTTTGGGTTTAGGGTTTAGAGTTTGTTTAGGGTTTGCAGTTTAGAACTTCGGGTTTAGGTTTTTCTTTTTGACCAAACGGGAAAACGATACCCAATATTCTAAACCGCATCCGAGGATGTCGCGCTGAGAGAAGCGGTTTTTCGGTACTACGGAACATTTACTCGCACGTTTTTGACCATGTTTGAATCTAGGTGACAGTTGGGGAAGCTTTCTATCTTTTCTGATGGTTCCTATAGATGTACCTCTTCAAACAAACTTTTGGCGCAACCCAGGAAATATTATTCGCAAATTGGGGACCTGCATGCAGAGTGCTGGTGGAGAACTTCAGCGACCCGTCTGGTTGATACAACAGGATTGCGAGTATTAGCTAGTGCGTTCATTCATTTCGGTTTGGTACAAGACCTCTGGGCCCCCCAGACCCATAACCCTAGATATGTACGCCCCTAAACTGCAATGCGCATGCACGGGCTAAGCTGTTTGGACTTTTGATGCCTGGGGAGTTCAGGTGAGTGGTTCTCCATCTTCTTCCTCTTTTACAGGCCTGCCGATGAGCCGGCCTAGAGCTCCAGGGCTTGCAGGTCATTGCTGTGTAAGACAGAGGTCGGAATACTTAGAAGTAGTAGCCCTTTAAACTTACTATATGCCACAAAAAGCCAGTCCTAAACCCTAAACCCTAAACCCTAAACCCTTCGAATTATTACGGCCCCTAGAGTGGACTAGTAGATGGGTCAAGACCCTGATGTTCTTCCCGGATTTCTGCAGCCGGAGCCCGACATGACCCAGGAAAGATTGTCCGCCTGGCGGATTTGCTCGGGGTTCGGGTTTAGGCTTTGGGTTTTAGGGCTTTAGGGTTTTAGGGTTTAGGGTTTAGGGTTCAGGGTTTTAGGGTTTAGGCTTTAGGGTTTAGGGTTTTAGGGTTGAGGGTTACTGTCGCCAATGGCTGCCCTCAGGTGTGTTTTGGGCTTCGCGGTGCTGAACGTCGTGAATGCTGTTGCTCTCTTTTTCAGTATCAATGCTTGATGCCCTTTTTCTGGAAGACGCATAGCACATAAGTGGTATGAAGCAGAAACCCATCGGGTTTGGGGTTACTAATTCAAGTAGACAATGTTATATTGCATTTCACTATACTGTATGAAACGATACTGTACTATACTATACTGTACTCTACCATACTGTTCTATACTATACTATACTGTGCTCTGATATGCGATGCTATATTATGCTATGCTATGCTACGCTATACTATAGTATAGTATACTATATGCTATGCTATGGTACGCTACGCTACTCGCTGACATACTTTAATATACTCTACTATACTATGCTATGCTATGCTGTGCTATGATATGCTACGCTACGCTATCCTATGCTATACTTTCCTATTGTTTCCCATACTATCCCATCCTATCCTATCCTATCCTATCCTATCCTATACTATACTATACTGTAGTATTCTGTATACACTATTTACTACTATATACTAGATACTATATACTACATACTATACTATACTATACTATACTATGCTATACTATACTATACTATACTATACTATACTATACTATGCGCACTATACTGTACTGTACTTTCAAGCCCAAGCTTGCCAAGAGTTGCTACAGCTCAACCCTAAACCTTAAACCCTAAACCCTAAACCCTCAACCCTAAACGCTAAACCCCAGACTTTCTACAGCCATGCACCAGCGAAGGTTTTCGTGCAGCAAACGATGAAGACCGCAGGGTCTGACGAAGAGCTGGCCTTCAAGCAGAAAGAGAAGGTCACTTGACGGTTTAGGGTTTAGGGTTTAGGCTTTAGGAATTAGCTTTAAGGGTTTAGGGTTTAGGGGTTTAGGGGTTTAGGTTTTAGGGTTTAGGATTTAGGAATTAGCTTTAAGGATTTAGTAGGAACTAGGGTTTAGGGTTAGGGTTTTTGGTTATGTTACCTAAACCCAACGCCCGAAGCCTTGAACCGAGAGATCATCCAGAGAAGCACTAGGGTAATCTGACTCGGCTATGGACGCTTCTTCTTATAAACTTCCTGTGATCAATACTCTTATAACCGTGACGGTGTAGTCGACATGTCCTTGTTGTCGTCATCGCGATTTTAGGAGTTTGGGGCTTGTTGAGACCGTTTCATCATGTGCCTGCGGCTAGGGTTTAGGCTTTAGGGCCTAGGGCTTATCCCCCAGACAACGATCCCAGATCTGCACCACAATGTCACAACCCACCCACATGCTGTTTTGAGTGAACCGCACAAACACATGAGCGCATGATCCACTCAGGATGCGCAGATGTATACAAGGACAGGGTAAGGGTTGCAACTTTCAGGTGTTCTGCGCAGCACCTGGAATCTGGCTTCAGTGTCTTAGGAATTTGCATTGCAGGTATGGGGTGTTGGGAAAGCTGGAAGCAGATGCATGCATCGTGTCTAGGCTGGACATCCGATTTTCGAGCTGAGGTTTTCTGCATTCACGCGGCTCCAAGAGCGTGAAATCGCTCGATAGTGGTCGGCATTCTCAGCACATGCCTGATCGTTAAGTCCAATACACCTTAGGCCCCGGATGCGCGATAAACCTGCTAAGGCGTAAACCCTACACTAAACACCCTAAGCCCTACACACCCCAAACCCCCAAAGTCCTCCTTGGGCTCGGGAGGAAAGTGAAGCGGCTCTTCCAAACGATCGATGACTCAGGCGACGGCACCCTCAACTTAGAGGACCGATCCAAGAGGGGTGTAAACCCTGAACCCTAAAACCCTGAAGCCCTAAAACTCTAAAACCCTAAAACCCTAAAACCCTAAAACCCTAAAGCCCTAAAGCCCTAAAGCCCTAAACCCTAAACCTTACAGCCCTAAAGCCCTGAAACCCTGGGTTCCGGCGCTTCAGGTTTGGATTCACGGTTTTGGATTCGGGGGTAAGAGGCCTCGGGTGGTATAGGAAGGTGGTAGGGTTTAGGGCTTAGGGCTTAGAGGGTTTAGGGCTTAAGGTTTAGGGTTTAGGGTGTATAGGGCTTTGGGCTGAGGCTGGTTAGATGCGGGCTTTGCTGTGCACCATGGGTCATGACACCCTTGACCAGGAGCCATGCAACTCAAAACCCGTTTCGATCCACACTTTCGAGCTACGGTCTTCAGTTCGGGAACTGTCCAAAAGGTTGGCTCCGGGTCTAATATAGCGGCCTCAATAATTAGA